TTTTTTTTTCCACTTTTCTAAAACATGTCTAAAGAGCAACTTTGCTTATTCACAAACAACATTGAAATGTTTTAAATGTAGTTTCAAATATGCATGACAGTCCATCCATCCATTATCTTTACCAGCTTCTTCCTTTCCAAGTAATGAGGGTCACTGGAGCTCATATCCAACAGTTACTGTGCAAGAGGCAGGGGACACCCTGGACAGGTCTCCAGTCCATCACAGGGACACATAGAGACAAACGAGACAAACAACTATTCACTGTCTCACTCACACTTAGGGACAATTTAGTTACCAGTCTAACATGCATGTTTTTGGTCTGTGAGAGGAAACTGGATTACCCGAAGAAAACTCACATGTGCAGAGAACGCAAACTCCACCCAGAAAGGCCCCCGACCAGGATTCGATCCGGCAACCTTCTTGCTGAGTGGGAACAGCTCTACCAACTGTGCTACTGCGTCACCCTATGTATGACAGCACCTTTATTATTTCTACATATGGTGTTTTCAGCTCCAGAAATCAAAAAATAAATTCTTATTATTCAAAATAAATATTATGAAAATCTAAAATAGAATTATTATCCAGAGAAACACATGTTGAGAATTCTACAATCCCATTGTTAACACCAAATTTTATTTTAGATATACAAAGCAGAAAAATGCCAAAGACTCATCTGGATAGACATCATCAAGGAGCTCAGTGTCCCTTGTTTGGATGTGAGTTACCGGGACCCCTCCCTGGAGCCAGGCCTGGGGGACGGTCTTGTCAGCGAGCACTTGCTGACCGGATCCTGACCCAGTAGCAGAGCTCAAATGAGCAACATTAGTTTGCCTTCCTGTGGACCCACCACATGAAGGAGGGGCCATACAAGTCGGGTGCAAAGTCCGATGGGTTGTAGCCAATGGCGGAGGTCTTGGTCCTGGCTTACCAAAGCTGGCTCTTGGGACATGGAACACCACCTCTCTGGCAGGGAAAGAGCCTGACCTTGTGCGTGAGGTTGAGAGGTACCGACTAAATATAGTTGGGCTCATCTTGACACACAGCATGGGCTAAGGAACCAATCTCCTTGAGAGAGACTGGACCTTATTCCACTCTGGAGTTTCCCATGGTGTGAGACTGAGCTGGTGTGGGTCTACTCCTAGCTTGTTGCCTGTGTATTGAAGATTTCCCCTGTAAATGAGAGGGTAGCTTCCCTGTGCCTTCAGCTGGGGGCACAGGCTATGACATTTGTTTGTTCCTACGCTCAAATAGCGTAGGCCCAAAGACAAGGGGCATTTACCTTTGGGACAAATTAAGGTCGCCGGTTGGTCATTTGCTGACACGCCTACTGGATTGCAGGTCAGAAAAAAAAAAAACGAGCGCTGGCAGCCTCAGCCGCAGCAGTGTTCTGTGTTAATATGTTGTTAATAAAAAGATCTAAAAATATATTTAAAACAGGGAGTGCTGGTCCTGCAGTCCACACATCAGACCAGCCCACCAGGAAATCTCCAGACCCTCCTGCAGCCACGCTGGACCTGAGTTTAATGTGCTCGTGACAAATTCCTTCATTTCTCACCATTTCAGTCATGGCATCAACAGAGGAGGAAGAGATTGCTTGCCTTTTGGCAAAAAAAACAAAAGAAAAGGCCAGATCAGGGATGAAGAAGGGGAATTTAATACATTGGTGTTGCATACAAAACAGTCCGTCTCCGGGCAGTTTATTGTGCGACACCGCGTACGCATACGTAGTCGTAAAACTTGAGCTTTGCGCTGACATGCCCTGCGGGAGTATGCTCGTACTTCCACGGACGTACGCATGCACGGACATACGCAGGAGTATACTGGGGGCTTTAGAGATAGGTTGTTGAAAAGTTCAGTAATCCAGGTGAGACTCAGAGTAGAGGTGCTGCTCCTCCACATTAAGAGGAGCCGTTGAGGTGGCTCAGGCATCTGGTAAGGATGCCCCATGTGCTCCAGGCATGTCTGACTGGGAACAGGCCCAGAACATGCTGGAGAGACTATAATGTGTCTTGGCTGACCTGGGAATGCCTTGGGATCCTCTCAGAATAACTATAAGAGGCGTATGGGGAAAAAGATGTCTGGGCCTCCCTGTTTAAGCTGCTGCCCTCTTGACCCAACTCCAGAACTAGTGGAAGATGGATGGATGGATGGATGGATGGATGGATGGATGGATGGATGGATGGATGGATGGATGGATGGATGGATGGA